AGGCAATATACATACACATAAAATAAAAATAATAAATAAAAAATATTAAAAAAGCATAAAGTGTGCATCACCAGGTCTGCAACATAGTAAGCAACACATAAAATGTAGTCATTAAACCCTCTGGTCTACAAGTCCCATGAGGAAACAGTCTTGTTCCACACTCCATCTCAAGTACCTAGCCACTGAATAAATGGTTGCAGATGACCTAGAAGTAACTCTCAACTCTCATCGCCCATCTTACAGCACCTAGTGCCCCAAACTTCTTCAATCTACAGTAAGGAGCTGGAAAAAACCATAGCCCAGAGGAAAGGCACTGTAGTTCCTGTTTATATTTCCTTAAACTCACCACAAAGATTTTCCCCATAAGTCCCAAACACAAAATCAATGCTGTGCAACAATGTAGTCTTAAACAACTTTGCCTCATTTCCCTCTACAGATAATGCACGAGTTCTTTTATGTATATGAGTGTATTGCCTGTATGTACGTGAGGGCACCTGTGTCGTACAATGCTGCGGAGGTCAGAAGAGGACCACCATCCTGGAGTTAAGGACGGTTTGTAGCTACCATGTGGGTGCTGGGAATCAAACTCAGGTCCTCTGCAAGAGCAGTCAGCGCTCTTAACTGCTGAGCCATCTCTCTAGCCCCAAATGCACGAGTTCCTTAAAACCCCCAGGACTGAGTTTAGTTCCCTTCACCCTTTTTTTTAAAGAATATTTTATTATTTTTATTTTATGTGTACATGTGTATTGCCTGCATGTAGGTAAGTGCACCTGTGTCTTGCAATGCCTTCGGAGGACAGAAGAGGCTGTCAGATCCCCTGGAACTGGAGTTACAGACAGCTGTTAGCTGCCATGTGGGTTCTGGGATTCAAACCCAGATCTTCTGCAATAACAGTCAGTGTTCTTAACTGCTGAGCCATCCCCTCCAGTCCTCCCCTTCACCCTTTTAAAAACAAAAATATACTTGTAAAACCCTAGCAATTCTCACATTTATGGTTTGAATCTCATTGATCTTCGATTCACATCTGGTTACCACAGGTTGCTACTTGTTTTTTATTACACAGTATAAGTTAAAATAAAAATGAGCCTCAAACTTAAAAAAAATAAGTTACACATCTAAGTGCACAGTGCTTTTATAGCATTAAATTTCAAAATTCACACATTATTTCTACAATGTTCCCATTAAAATAAAATTCAAAGATTTGGTTTTTGAATAGCTCTCAGGTTACACAAACATTCTGTCTTTACAGGTCTAACTCCCGATGTGATGTAAAACAGTGTCATCAGTCGGGCTGCCTCATCTTTCAGGAGGCTTGAGTCCAGATTCCCCTCATTTACGTGAACTCAAATGGACTTCATTATTCCCCCATCAAACTGCTTTCAAAGGATGATGGTGGAGAAAGGTAACACAGGCCTCAAAGTAAAAAAGAAATCCCAAACTTTCTGCCACACTCTGAAAGCTGCTAATTGAAACCACAACTTCAAATAACTACAGGGAGAGAACATCTGTGAATCTAAATCCAGGTGGCATCTGCTCAGAACCACTTGTCATAGACAATTTTTTCTTTTTTCCTCCCAATACATTATGGATTACATATTATAGCTCTTTGGTAGAAATACACTGGAGAGAAGGGCAGAAAACTGCTGCTCTACAAAGACACTCAGGGAACATAGTGGTTGTTGCTAAAGGGAGAAACAGAGGGGCTGGGGAACAAAAAGCACAAGAGGTTTTTGGCTACACACCTGCCTGAATGTTATACAAAGTAAATGGTGTTTGTTTTTTGGTTTTGTGTTGTCCGGTGTATGAGGCTGGGGATGGAAGACAGGGTCTGGCATATGCAAGGCAAAGCTGTACACTGAGCCCTACTGCCATCCCTGTATTATCTATTTTTTTAAGGTATTTGGTAAAAGTCCTTTCACATTGTGAGACTGTGCTCAGTTCTATGCCACAGAAAAGAATGGAGAATTCATTTTAATGGCTCTTCACTGTGAATCTGGCTCATCTGTCCACAGCAGGGCATCACGCCACAGGTAGGAAACCTTGCAAGTTTGCCTACACTCCCTACAGGTGAGTTCTGTTGCACAGCTCACTGAGTAATTAAAACAGCACTGGAAACAAAAACCAGATACTCAAAATAATTCATGTGTCAATCGGGAATGAAAAATGGAAGTCCATGCTGGTGTGGTAGCACAGACCTTTAATCCCCGCACTTGGGAGGCAGAGGCAGGGGTATCTCTGTGAGTTTGAGACCAGCCTGGTCTCCATAGCAACTCCAGGTCAGCTGGGTCTAACAGGGAGACCCAGGCTCAAAAAGACCAAAAAAAAAAAAAAGGAAGTCCATTAGTTAAGCTATTAAATATTAAAGAAACAATGGTCCAGATAGATTTTTAAATGAGCAACAAATAGAGAATCTAAATTGCGGCCATCTCCTGTAAGAAGGACTACCGTCCCGTGGACATAGGAGAAAAATGTCTAGCATTATGCCGTCTGCAACATCTCTTGAGCAGCTTCAGCTAGAGTGCAACCATCTGCTGCTGGACACAATTGCACAATCTCAATTACCCAGAAGATTTTACCAAACAGGAAATTCATGATGTGACTTCAAGTAACACAGGAGTCATATTTAAAGATTAACACATCCAGAAGCCTGGAATTTGTTCCAAAACAAAACAAACAAAAAATCATTTCACAGGCTCTTTTTAAAATAACATATGCAGGCAGGGTGCACTGGCACAGGCCTTTAATCCCAGCATTTGAGAGGCAAGTGGATCTCAGTGAGTTCCAGGCCAGCCTGGCCTATATAGTGGGTTCCAGGTCAGCCAGGGCTACATAGTAAGTCCCCCACCCCACCCGCAAAAAAAGTAAGGGTAAAAATAACACACACACATAAATTACTAAAATATAGCTGGGTGTGGTGGCGCACGCCTTCAATCCCAGCACTTGGGAGACAGAGGCAGGCGGATCTTTGTGAGTTCAAGGCCAGCCTGGTCTAGATAGTAAGTTCCAGGTCAGCTGGGGCTACAGGGAGATCCTGTCTCAAAAAAGCAAAAACAAACAAAAATTGCTAAAACACAGAAAGAACTAACAGCTCAATCTGATACTTACTTTCAGATCAGGAATGCCAAAATGATACCATGTAAAATATATCTAAAAGATACAAGCCCCCACCAAGCCTTGCACTTGGGAGGCAGAGGCAGGCAGATCTCTGAGTTCCAGGCCAGCCTGGTCTACATAGTGAGTTCCAGGCCAACTGGGGCTACAGGGAGACCCTGTCTCAAAAAGAGACAAAAGATACTATGTAACTTCTTGAGAGCTAGAACTTAGTAAACTTTTTCCCAGGTGGAAATTTTATGGTATGGATTTAAAAAAAATTTTTTTGGGGGGGCGGGGAAGGGCTCTTTTTGGGACAGGGTCTCCCAGCTGGCCTGGAACTATGTAGACCAGGCTGTCCTCGAACTCACAAAGATCCGCCTGCTTCTGCTTCCTGAGTGTTGGGTTTATTTTACTATGTTTTATTTATGTGTATATATGTGTGTCTGTGTGGGGGTCTGTACACAGGGCTGCAGTGCTAGAGTTAAAGGCTGCTGTGCCCTGCCTGACCTTAGCCCTGGGAATTGAACTCAGGTTCTCTGGAAGAGCAGTAGGTGCTCTTAAGGGCTAGGCCATCTCTCCAGTTCCTTTGGTAAGGATTTCATTTACCACATCATCAAGATGTGAATAAAAAAGCTGAGAAATAGGGCTAGAGAGAGCACTGGCTGCTCCTGCAGAGGACCCAGGTTCAGTTCCCAGCACCCATATGACAGGCTAACAACCGTCTATAACTCCAGTTCCAGGAGATTTCGACTTCCTCTTCTGACCTCTAGACTCTGCCTGACACAGGTACACTTACATACATGCAGGCAATACACTCATACACATAAAAAAGTAACTTTTTTAAAGCTGAAAAATGTTTTTTCCTTTTTTATCTCTGCTCCAGGTTTCGGCAAAAACCAGCGCACCCCTCCCCCCCTAAGTCCTTAAATGCAGATAAATGCAGGTTTGCTTAAACGCAAACCTTCTAAGAGAATAAAAAAAAAAAAAAAAAAACGGATGGAAACCACAAAAAAAAATATCCATGAAAATTATCTCAAAAAAAAAAAAAAAAAAAAAAAACCTGCAACACTTCCCGGAATGATTACTAACTTTCCGATCTGGAGGGCGCCCCACGGATCAGAATCCCTCTGGCTCCCCAAGAACAAATTGTTTTGTCCAACAGTACCGAAGTATGCAGTGGTGTGTGACTAACCCGCGAAGCCGCCAGCTGCAGCGATCGAGCTGGGCACTGCCACCCTCCCTCCCCGAAAAGGAAATACGCTTGCAACCCAATCGGAAACACACTACTCAAGCTGGCACCGCGCTCCCGAGATAAAGTCGGTATTTTAAGCTCTTCGGGGTGCTGCTAATTCAAGTGCGAATTCCAAAAGGAGCTTTCCCAAACCGGGGATTCTTTTTCCATCGAAGCTTGCAAAAAATAAAATAAATTCCAAGGCAAGAGAGATCCTCTGCTTGCAAGTTTCATTCCGCAGTCCCGGGGTCAGGCTTTGCCCTTCTGCTCCCCCCCGCCCCCCCGTTCGTCTGGCTCCACCGCGGCTCCAGTGTCCTCCAAATGCATGCACCCCAAGTTCAGAGTTCTGGGGTTGCATGGCAGCAACCTGAGCCGCCCCCCCCAACTCTACCCCGGGGAAGAGCATACTCTCCCAGCAGGGAAGGCGCAGGGTGGAGCACCACCAACACTGCAAGCACCCCCGTCCGGCCCCGCGCCTGCAACTCCGACAGAACGCCTACCTGGGCGTGCACGGCTTGCGGGGTGCAGGGCATGCACCGCTGCAACGCCCCCCAGCCCACACCCCGAGGATGCCCGCCGCGGAGTCGCGGGGGCAGGCCTGGTCCTCAGCCATGCAGACATTCTCCCTCCCTCCCCCCTCCTCCGGGAGCCCGGCAACACCCAGGGCGACACTCACCACACCGAGCCATAGGCGCCCGAGCCCACCGGGGACAGGTTCTGATAGCGCTCCGGCACCTCCCAGATGGTCTTGTTCAGCTCCTGCCGGTAGAACGTGGGCCTCTCCTGGGACATCTTCCCGCCGAGGCTGCGGGCTGAGGAGCCGGCCGTCGGGGCCTGCCCGCGCCGTGCAACCCGCGCCGGGTCCCTGCTCAGCCCACGCCGCCCGGCCGGACGCCGACCCCGCGCAGGTGTGATGAGTCTGGGCGCCCCTCGCGCGCGCCGCTCCGACCCGCCCCGGCTGCACCCCGGTGACACCCCAGCGGTGCCCCACAGCAGGCGGCACGGCCCCACGCGGCTCCCGGCGGCAGCCCTCCCTGCAGCGGCTGCTCAGCGAAGGCCGAGCGGACGACCTCTCAGCTCGCGCTGCAGCGACCCGCTCGCGCTCCAGGGCCAGCGAATCCCACAGGCGGCCGTGGATCGGGAGCCTCCCGCGGAAGTCTCGCGAGAACAGCGCCCGGGAAAGCTCCGCGAGCCGAGATCTTACCCAATATGGATCCTGCGGATGGGCGGGGCATCTTGTAAGGGGCGTGGTGTGGCGCGAGGGGCTGGGGGCGGGGCAGTCCTCGCGAGAAGAGAGCAACAGCTGGAGGAACTCTCGGGGACTGTTCTTTCAGGCGCGAAGGGGAGGTGGCAGTGCTGCACATGCCGCGCGCGCCTCTTCGCGGTCGGCCGGGCTAACGCTTGGCGTCGCGGCTGAAAGCCACAGTGACAGTGGCGGGAAAAGAGCCAGAAGATCTTTGCACTCCGGGCCACCTGCTCATTGGAGCCCGCAGTTTCCAAGAAATGCTTGCACTAAGAGACAGGCTGCCCAGAAAGCTGTTGCATGATGCCCATCTGTTAAAAGGACATGTGACTTCTGGTTGCGAATGCTGTGAAATCTGTCCCAGAGGCAAATATTGGCCCTGCCTGGGCGCTGAGGCTTTTCTTCAAATTCGTGGTGGTGCACGCCTTTAATCCCAGCACTCGGGAGGCAGAGACAGGCGGATCTCTGTGAATTCAAGGCCAGCCTGGTCTACATAGTGAGTTCCAGGACAGCTGGGGCTACAGGGAGACCGTTTCAAGAAAACCAAAAAAATTTTTTTTAATTTATATTTATGTGTATGGGTGTCTTGCCTGCATGTGGGTTAAGTGCACCATGTACATGCAATGCCAGAGAGGGAGTTGGATCCCCTGGAACTGGAATTAAGGACAGTTGTTAGCTGCCATGTGGGTGCTGGGAACTGAACCTGGGTTCTCTGTAAGAGCAGCCAGTGCTCTTAACCGCTGAGCCATCCCTCCAACCCCCACCCCAGTAATAGTTCTTGAACTTTTACGTACAGAACAACCACTCTGTGAGCTTAAGAAAGAGATCCTCAGGCTGGAGGTTCAGCGGTTAAAAACCGCACTGCACTGGCTCAGCGGTTAAAAACACTGGTTCTTCTTGCAGAAGACCTGGGTTCGAATCCCAGCATCCACATGGCAGCTAACAGCTGTCAGCTGTTAGTAACTCCAGTTCCAGGGGATCCGACGGCCTCTTCTGTCCTCCGAGGGCATTGCATGACATGGGTGCACTTACCTACATGCAGGCAGTACACGCATACACATAAAATTAAAATAAAATATTTTTAAAAAGCCCTCTGGACCCACGGGAGTCCGATGGGAAAGGTCAGGTGTAGACATAAAGAATGCATTTTCATCCGGGCATAGTGGCGCAGGCCTTTAATCCCAGCACTTGGGAGGCAGAGGCAGGCCGATCTTTGTGAGTTCTAGGCCAGCCTGGTCTACATAGGTAGTTCCAGGACAGCTGGGGCTACAAAGAGACCCTGTCTCAAAAAAAGACATAAATAAATAATAAATAAATAATAAGTAAATAAATAGAATTAAAAAAATTCATCTCGTGAGGGATGTGGCTCGGTGGTACTGTGCTTGTCTAGTGTTCCCAGGGCCCTGAGTTCAGGCCCAACTGTGGAGTGGGGATGTGGCCATACAGGGAGATGATTTCAATTCCGGAAGCTCTTCTATCACTCTTAGAGGGGCATTTCTTAAAAAATTATTAAAATTATTACATCGCTGGGGCTGGAGAGTTGGCTCAGCAGTTAAGAGCATTGACTGCTCTTGCAGAGGACTTGGGTTAGATTCCCAGCACCCACATGGTGGCTATGAACCGTCCTTAACTCCAGTTCCAGGGGAATTCTAAGCCCTCTTCTGACTTCGGCATTGCACGACATGAGTGCACTCACATACTTGCAAGCAATACACTCATACACGTAAAATAAAAATAATAAAATATATAAATAAATAAATAAAATTATTCCATGGCTCGTAATCTCAGCAGATGGAGGCAGAAGGATCAGGAGTTCATGGCCAGCCTCTACTACACTGTAAGAGCCTAGCCTGGGCTTACATGTGACTGTCTCAAACAAACCAAAACTCTCCAGCCCTTCAGAGCCATCCAGTGCAGATAATTTTAAGGACTGAATTCATGCCAAGCAAGTCAGTTGACCTTTCTTGGGCCTTAGGCCTTACTTCTGGCAGGGGAACCCTGTCCTACATTCCAAACCTGTAGAACCGCCTGGAAAAGCCAAGAAAATACTACATATGAGTGGGGAAAGGCTTCAGCCTCATACCTTCACCCACCCCACCATGATCAACCTGTGTTTGTTATGTCTTGGCTATTTCTAGAAATAAAGGGATCTAGGGGGTTCTCACCGCCCAGCTACTTGGCGGGAGGCAGCCAGGTAAACCCCCTTTCTCTCTCCACCCCTGCCTCGCCCCACTAGGGTCACCCGCCCGCCGGAACGCCCGCGAGTTCTGGCTGCAACGGCTAGGGAACCGCCTGCCTCTGCGACCATAGCGAAGCCCGCCAGGCCGAAGCCAAATGGGACCAGGCGCCGGCACTCCCGCCGGCACCCGGGAACCAGGTGAGCCTCGGTCGGCCTCGGCGGGGGCTGCAACCTGGGAACCGAGAAGCCACGGGCGGCCCAGCGAGGGGCTGTATGGGTCACCTGCTGGGCCAGGCACGGTCCCCGGAGCTCTGTCGTTTGTTTGCACAATGAGTGACTGAATGAATGCCGTAGTCCCTGGGAAAGGCCGCGTGAACAGCAGTGACAGGAGACAGTGTGCGGTTTTTTGCAGGTTGGATCTTTTCAGAATTCGCCTGTGTTGTCAAAAGCCCCAGAGCTGGGGGAACTGGTCTATGGTCCTTCGCTCTCTGACACCCCATCCTTGTCCTCTTCAGGCTTTTCTTCCCCTTTCGGACTCATTGTTTTTGTAAGGTTTGTTCCTCTGACTGACCCACCCTTTCTCCCCTTTGCCTGCCAGTCAATTCCTATGTGTGCATCTGGCCCTCCTATGAAGCTTTCTCACCACTCATGTGTGTCTCTCCAACACACCTCCCTGGTGCCACACTCATTGTGAGGCATGAAAAGAAGGTGTTCCATGTTTTTGTGTCCGTGGGCAGCAGTTGGGGGACTGTTACCTTGTCTAATTCATCTGGAAGTCACTAGACGGTGGTCTGCTAATACCTTCGCATCTCCCTCATCTTTCTCCATCAAAACCCAAGGAGTCACAGGCAAAGAGTTGTCTCTGATGGGAGTTGCAAGTGCTTTTTTTTTTTTTAAATTGGAAGTGAATTTTGCTTTGTGATTGTAGAAAACTTATGAAAGATGACCATATCAGGCAAAAGATAATCTTGCAGTTTTAACTAGTTTTCAGGGTTTCACATGTATTGGATCAAAATTTTAAAATTGAATTGTGTTTAAGGGGTTATTTTTTGGCATTTGAAATAGTCCAAACAGAGATTCTGTAAATGAATCAGTGGATGGATAGATGGATGGATGATAGATGTTGGATGGGTGGATGGGTGGATGATGGGTGGGTGGATGGATGTTGGATGGATGCTGGATGGGTGATGGATGGATGATGGATGGATAGATGGATGGATACTAGATGAATGATGGATGCTGGATGGGTGATGGATGGATGGATGGATGCTGGCTGGATGCAGGATGGATAAGGGTATTGAGAATGGTGAAAGAGCTGGGTACAAAGAACTGTATTCCCAAATTTGGCTGTGAAAGGCTGATTAGACACCATTAGAGGCTGGAGATACAGCTCAGGGTAGAGCACTTGTTTAGCATGTGTGAGGCCCTAGGGTATGATTCCCACCATAAGGGGGGAAAAGGAGTTAAGGAGTGCATGATAGCACGCACCTGTGATCCCAGTATTTGGGAGGAGGCGGCAGGAGAATCAGGATTTCAAGACCAGCTGGACTGCATGTGACTCTGGCTCAAAAAACTCAAACAAGACAAAAAGATATTAGCTTAAATTACTGTGTATCAGAATAACTGAGTTCTTAAAACAGACTTTTGAGTTGCCTCAGAGTTTCTGACTCAGGAGGGATTGCTAGCTGGGGTCTTTCTGTCAGTAGGAACCTCAGGCCATCCCATTGTAGTGGGAAGTGACCTGCTAGTGTATGAGAAGTTGCTGGGGTTTTTTTTTGTTTTTGTTTTTGTTTGAAATCAAAAAAGATGTGAAAGGGCTAGCCAGCTCAGTGATTAAGAACACTGGTTGCTCTTGCAGAGGGCCTGGATTCAAACCCCAGCACATGGCAGCTAATAACCATCTGTAACTCCAGTTTCAGGGGATCCGATGTCCTCTTCGGTCTCTGTGGCATTGCACACACATGGCACACTTACATACATGCAAGCAATGTATTACTGTAAGCCAGTGTCTTAATGTATTGGACCACACAGCTCTAGATAATGTCTCTGACCCACTTGGTCTTCTCATGTGTATCTCACACAAACAAGACTTCTGATCAGACTTCAGATAGCTAAGAACTCCACAAAGAGCCATGCATCAAGGACCCTCTAGGAATTATTGCTTTGTTTTATGTTTATTTTGAAATAGTCTCAAATAATCCAGGCTTGCCTCAAACTTGCTATGACACTGACTGGTCTTTTTTGTTTTTTCTTCTTCTTTTTGAGACAGTCTTCCTATGGCCCCAGCATGCCTGGAACTTGCTATATAGGCCAGAGTACCCTAGATCTCACAGAAATCCACCCACCTCTGCCTCCCAAGTGCTGGGATTAAAGGCTTGGGCCACTATACCCCGCTGAGGCTCATCTTGAACTCCTGGTCCTCCTGCCTTCACATTTCAAGTGCTGGGATTATAGGCATGTGCTGCCACACCCAGTTCTAAGAGTTTTGGGGGGTTTGCTTGTTTTTGCTTGTTTGTTTTTACATTTGTGTGTGTGTGTGTGTGTGTGTGTGTGTGGTATATTTGTGGTATATAGTGCACCACACTGTGCCTGTAGAGGTCACAAGGAAGCTTGTTGGTCCTCTCCTTCCACAATATGAATGTAGATGGGTCCTGGGGACCAAACTCGAGTCATGAGCCTTGGTGACAAGTGTCTTTACCCTCTAAGCTACCTTCCTGGCCCCACTTCAGGAAAGTTTTAAGCTAACTCTTAAAAAAATATTTTATTTTATGTATGTGTGTATTGCCTGCATGTAGGTAAGTGCACTCGTGCAGTGCCAGCAAAGAACAGAAGAGACTGTCAGATTCCCTGGAACTGGAGTTATAGACAGTTGTTAGCTGCCATGTGGGTGCTGGGATTTGAACCCAGGTCTTCAGCAAGAACAGTCAGTATTCTTAACCGCTGAGCCATCTCTCCAGCCCCATAAGCTTACTTTTTTTTTTTAAGTTTAAAGCTGACTTGACTCAGATCTTTTGAATGATTTTCCTTGTATTATCTCTAACTGTACCCAATTCCCTCCCTGAAATACCTGACCCACTTCTACCAATTGAGATGGACCTCAAGTCCGATCCTCTTGGGGGCATCTTTCCCATTCCACTAGGCTGGGATTATTAATATTACCCTGTAGGTCACGTGGAATTAGGATGTGGCAGTCTATTTTAAAACTAGAAAGATGGGGACTGAGGTGTGGATGTTGCTGAGTCATTGTGATACCCTGAAGAAATCCCTAACCTATCAGAGAAACAAGTATGGTCATGGTCAGGAAAGTGATGGTCACCCCTGGTGTGAAGGTGGGCCAGCAGTGAGTGTTTATTCCTGTACTGCCTCTGAACTCTACAATATGTGTGTGTGTGTGTGTGTGTGTGTGTGTGTGTGTAAAATATTTATGTTATGTGTATGAGTGTTAATGCCTGCATGTGTGTAAGTGCATCCATATCATGCAGTGCCTGTGGAGGGTAGAAGATGGCATCACATCCCCTGGAACTGGAGTTCCAGATGATTGTTAGCTGCCATGTGGGTTCTGGGATTCAAACCCCGGTTCGTCTGTAAGAAGAGCCAGTGCTCTTAACTGCTGAGCCATCTGTCCAGCCCCCTACAACATTATATTTTGGTTAAATCAAATCACAGAGACTGCCAGGCATGGTGGCACATGCCTTTAATCCCAGCACTAGGGAGGCAGAAGAAGGTGGATCTCTGTGAGTTCAAGGCCAGCCTGGTCTACATAGCAAGTTCCAGGCCAGCTGGAGCCTCAGGGAGACCCTGTCTCAAAAAACAAACAAACAAACAAACAAAAAAAGACCAAAAAAAATCATAGAAAGTTTGTTTTTTGTGTCCCAAGAGCACTCAGCATCAACAAATGTTGAGGGAAGGTTTATAAGACCACTGGGGAAATAACATTCTTCAGTGTGATGGAGGTGAAGAGCAGATGTGGTAGGAAATTTTAAAATTGTGCAAAGCAGAGGAGCTCGGCAAACCCCAGCATAGATGGCAGGCAGCTCTTGCAATGTGACAGTGAAAATCAAAGATGATAGAATGAAATACAGGGCTGGGAATGTAGCTCAGTTGGGAGAATGTTACTCTGCATACACAAGGCCCCCCAGCACCCCTTAAACCAGGTATGGCAGTACCCAGCACTGGAGAGGTAGAGGCAGGAGGATCAGAAGTTCAAGGCCAACCTATCTAGCCCTCCTCTAATATATATGTAAATTATGCACACATGTATGCATACATATAATATCTGATATGTGTGTATATTGTATGTAATATATGTATATGTATGAAATCTTTGAAATGAAGAAGATTCTACATGAAAATCTAGAACCATGTCTTCTCTAGCAAATAGCAGGTCTGGCCACACTAGGCCCATAGTGCCCCTGTAGAACAGATGCTAGAGACCAGCAAACTACTACCTTTGCCAGTTTATACTGTTGCTGCCCTGTCTTGATATCCATGTGTGTTACCTGCTTCACACCAGCACTGCCTCATTGCCACATGAAGAAAAATTTATGCTAAATTCTAGACTCTTCATGTGGCCCAGGATAGCAATTTATAATTGTAATTTAATAAGCAGATAAATTACATCCAGGAATAAATATGCCATAATAAAGGAAGTTTATTTGCAGGAGTACATTGAGAGGGATGGAGAGATGACTCAGAGGTTAAAAGCACTTACTGCTCTTGGAAGAGGACTCTAGTCTGGTTCCCAGCACCAACATGACCCATAACAACTGTTCATAACTCCAGTTCCAGGGGATCTGGACACCCTCTTCTAGACTCCTCAGGCATTGCACACACTTATTTACATACATGCAGGCATAACACTTAAACACATAAAATAAAAATAAATAAAATTTTAAAAGGAGTACATGGAGAAAGTCAGATTGGGTGAGTCTTCCTATGGGCAGAGGGGAAAAGAAGAAAAAATATTTGCATTTCAGTTCACAATTCTGTATCTTTTTGTAAAACATATGAGGTGTATGGGTGTGGGGGTACATGCCTGTGATATCACTCAAACGGCTGAGGCAGGAGGATCATGAGTTTCAGGCCAGCCTGGGCTATGTAGCAAGACCCTCTCTCAAGAAAAAAAAAAAGAAAAAGAAAAGAAAAAAGATACACCAATTGTAAAGAAATTTTAGAGTTTCAGTTTTAAATATTTATATTTATGTGTGTGACTATTTTGCCTGCATGGATGTAAGGGCACCATATGTATAATACCTGTAGAGGTCAGAAGAGGGTGTTGAGTCACCTGGAAACTGGAGATGGATCGTTGTTAGCCAATGTATGGATACTGGCAACCAATCCCTGAATCTCTGCAAGAGCAGTCAGTGCTTTTAACCACTGAGCCATCTCTCCAGTGAGTTTATGCCTTTAAAAATAAACACAGATAATTAATAATAACACGTTCTCCCATAATTGCTGTCCCTATATAAACTCATTAGTGTCATTTTTTGTTGTCTGTTTAAAAAATTTATTTATTAATATTTTCTGTGTATGAGTATATTGCCTGCTTGTATGTAAGTGCACTCGTGTTGTGCAATGCCCGTGGGAGTCAGATAGAGGGCATCAGATCCTCTGCAACTGGAGTTACCAGCATTTGTTAGCTGCCATCTGAATGCTGGGAATTGAATCTGGGTCCTCTGCAAGATCAGCCAGTGCTCTTAACCGCTGAACATCTCTCCAGCCCCTTTTTTTGTTGTCTTAAAGGAGCCAGACAATACAGATTGTTTTTTAAGTGGTCCTTAGCCATCATGCTGACCAAATACCTTGTGATAAGAAAACTGAAATTTGGCTAGTTAGAAAATAAGCTAGGAGCCAGATGCGGTGGGAAGCTGAAGCAGGGGAGCCCACACACACGTGCACAGACACACACACACACACACACACACACACACACACACAGGCCGATGGGATGGCTCAGTGGGTAGAGGTGCTTGCCACCAGGCCTGGTGACCCACATGGTAGAGGGAGAAAACTGATTCCTGCAAGTTTTCCACACATTTGCTGTGGTGCATGCATGCACATGATGATGATGATGATGATGATGATGATGATATTTTAATTAAAATTCAAAAAGAAAGAAAATCAGCCAAAACTAACACCTTAGTCTCCTGACATCTTAAGCATGGCTCTTTCTGCTTTGTCATGACCCACAACCTGAACCCTTGACAATCATGCAAGAGATACTTGTTGAAGGCCTGTTAAGAGTAACACACATTCTGGATGTTGAGAATACAGCCCTGGGCAGTCAAAGCCCGGTCTTCTGACCTTACCTTTTATGAAGGAGTCGGGGGAGGGACAGAAAATGTCCACAAATGTGCACTCGGGTAAAAGTAGAGAAAAGCGATATCTCAGTGGGTGCTATGTTCCATGTTAGAACATATGGTCTATGTTAGAAGACTACAGTGTGTTAAGCATTGATTAATACTGAATTTTGACTCTTGGTCATTTTCCAGCAACATAACCACACTGTTGAATATTACAGGAAGCTGTGCCTAAGTTCTAGTCCTAATTCTAAATGTTATTTAACAGGCAGGGCATGGTGGCACACACCTGTAATCTCAGCACTAAGGACATAAAGGCAGGAAGATCAGCTCCAGGTCATTCTCTGCTATTTACTGAGTTTGAGGCTAGTCTGTACTACATGAAACCTCTTCTTAAAAAATTAAATTTAAATAGCTGGGTGTGGTAGTCCACACCTTTAATCCCAGCACTAGGGAGGCAGAGGCAGGCAGCCTGGTCTACAAAGTGAGTTCCAGGACAGCTGGGGCTATAGGGAGACCCTGTCTCAAAAAAAAGACCAAAAAAAAATATTAAACTTAAATAAACACCCAAGACTTTAAACTTCTGAACTTTGCGATCTCCATTGGGCTTTTTTTTTTTTTTTTTGGTCTTTTTGAGACAGGGTCTCCCTGTAGCCCCAGCTGACCTGGAACTCACTATGTAGACCAGGCTGGCCTCGAACTCACAGAGATCCACCTGCCTCTGCCTCCCGAGTGCTGGGATTTAAAGGCATGTGCCACCACACCTGGCTCATTGAGCTTTTTTAAAGAAATATTTTATTTCTTATTTTCATTTTATGTGTATGCATATATTGCCTGCATGTAGGTAAGTGCACCCGTGTCGTGCAGAAGAGGCTGTTGGATCCTCTGGGACTGGAGTTACGGACAGTTGTTAGCTGCCATGTGGGTGCTGGGATTTGAACCTGGGTCTTCTGCAAAAACAACCAGTGTTCTTAACCGCTGAGCCATCTCTCCAGCCCCTCCATTGAGCTTTTTAGCCCCTTTGTTGTGTTTGTTTGTTCTGACAGGGTTTGGGGGTATGTAGCCAAGGCTGATTCCAAGTGTTCAATCCTGTTTCTGCCTGTGCAGTGCTGGAATTAGAGGCCAGATTGCCACATCATGTACATTTTGTCCGTTTGGAAAATGAGAGTACCTTGAATTCCTGGCTTTGAACATGAAATTGTATGACATTGAAAAAGAGTTTTGTAAAACTGCTATGCAAATGTAACATCTCATATGGAAATTATGCTTCCTTAAAAATGTACTGAAAGCCAGGTGCAGTGACTACACTCAGGGTTCAGAAGGCTGAAGCAAAAGCCCAGGAGTTCAACATCAGACTGAGCAATATAGAAAGTCTCTATATTAAGGAAGAAAAAAAATGCCAGCGATTATGGTACATGCTTATAATCCCAGCACTTGGGAGGTAGAAACCAGAAAATCAGGAGTTCAAGGTCATCCTTGGCTACATAGGGAGTTTGAAGGTAGCCTGGGCTAAAAGAAACCCTACCAGAAAGAAAAAAAGAGGGAGAAGGAGAGAGGGAAAGAGGGAGAGAAAGCGAGAGTAAGGATCTAAATTTCTAAAAATTATTGTAAAAAATACGTTAGATCGAGGCTGGAGAGATGGCTCATCAGTTAAGAGCACTAACTGTTCTTGCAGAAGACCCAGGTTCGATTCCCAGCACCCACATGGTGGCTATGAACTGCCCTTAACTCCAGTTCCAGGGGAATCCAACGCCCTCTTCTGACCTCCGTGGCATTGCACGACATGGGTGCACTCACATACATGCAGGCAATACACTCATACACACAAAATAAAATTTTAAAAAATGTTAGATTTACTTATTTGGTGGGAGGAGGTGGTGCATGTGTCACAGAATACAAATGGAGGCCAGAGGACAGTTTTCAAGAGTCGTCTCCTTTCATGTGGGTCCTGGGGATTGAACTCAGATCACCCAAGGCTTGGCAACAAACATCTGTACCCATTGGGCCATCTCGCAACTCTGAGAATCACTTTCTATTTGATTTCTTTCCAGCTCATCCAAGAATGATGCAAACGGAGAGTTCCAGCAATAGAAACAGGCAAAACCTCTTTGCCTACAATGTCAAGCAAAACATGTACAATGAGGAGAATTTCCAGCAGGAGCACAGGAGGAAGGTCCTCTCCTCTGGGAGCGTGGACATCGACATCACCACCTTCAAACACCATGTCCAGTGCTGGTGCGTGCATCTTCTCGGCTACCCTCAAGATGGGCAGGATAGAAAGATAACCCACCTCTACACAGCCCACTTCCATCTCTGTTTTCTCTTTAATTCCTGTTGTCAGAACCTGCTGTTCATTGCATAATTTCTTTTTCTTTCTTGAGGCACCGTCATAAACTTCTTGGAGTGTTATCCTTTAGCCCATTTTCTGGTATTTTACTGTAGCAAAAGACCCAAGGCTAAGTAACTTGTAAAGCTGTTTATTTGGCTCATGATTCTGGTAGCAATGGGACCACACAGTATGGGAACTGGTGTCCTGGTGGAGACACCTTACTGCGTCACAACATGGCTGAGCACAAAGGGCTAGCTGTGTTCATACGGGGCGAAGGCATGAGGTAGCCTCAGGATAAAAACCTGCTCTCCTGGTGCTGATCCAGTCCCATGAGAGCTAGAAGTCTGGCCAGACAGTGCCTCTGTGCCTGAGGGAGGATCTCCCACAGCTAAGGTCTCATGGCTTCAGGGCTTGGATTCCTCCAAGCATTGCCTCCATGGGACCCACACTCCCCAGCACAGAACCTTTGGCAGACTAGACACATTCCAATCATAGTAGCCATGAAGACCTCAAGTGCCCACAGTATCTGGAGATGATAGTTCAATTAGGGCAGGAGATGGCTCAGTTGGTAAAGGCACTTGCAGTAAAACCTGATAACCTAAGTTCAATCCTTGGGACCTACATAGTAGAGGAGAGACCCAACTCGACAAAATTCTCCCCCACAATAAATAAATTAATTAATTTAATTAAAAAACCAATTACCATTACTAGTCTTCTCCCAAGAAGTAAGACAACTGTGGTGGAGTACATAATGGTAAAAGAATGAAACCTTTCTAGTTTCAACAGGACACTCACAACCTTTAATGCTTACCATGACCAGCTAAGAGGCGCCTAACCTGTTTCTGTGCTGTGAACCATTCAGCAATCTGATAAAGCAAATGAGCCTCTTTTCAGAATCATTTATTTGTTTTTTTATTTGTTTCTTTTGAGACAGGATCTCATATAACCAAAGGTGGTCTCAAACTCAGTGTGTAGCCCCGGCTGGCCTTGAGTTCCTGAATCTCCAGTGTCCACCTCCTAAGTACTGGGATTACTGGCATGTCTCACCACACCTAACTCTTTGACTTTTTTTTTTTCCCCAGTTCTGGGGATTGAATCTAGAGTTTCAGTCATGCTAGGCAAGCACTCTCTATCACTGAGCTATGTCCCCAGCCTACAGGATTTTGTTTATTGTTTTTTTGTTTTCTGTAGTAAAATATATAATGACATTAAGCTGGTTGTTTTTGACCATTTTGAAGTTTAAGATTCAGTGGCATTATTGACATCCACAAAGTTACACAACTGTCACTAGTCTTTGCAAAACTTTTTCATCACCTCAAACAGAAACTCTGTACTCATTAAGCAATGCCTCCCCTCCCCCAACCCGTTTTCTGTCTCTATGAGTCTGCCTCTTCTAGATTAAGCTGTGAATCTGCCTCTTGTGGTCCGAGTAGAGCCGCACAGTGTATGTCTGACTGTGTCTGGCTTACGTCGTTTAGTACAACGTTCTCATGGTTTATCCACATTCTAGCCTGTGTCCATATGATTCCTTTTCTGTGGCTGTTTCCATCCTTTGGTTTCTGTGACTAGTGCTTCTGTGAACACTGGTATAGATCTGTTTCAATTTGTCTTCAATTCTAGAAGCATGTCTACTACTGGAATTCCCAGGCCGTATGATTCCCCAGCTTGATGTTCAGCTTGGGAGGAAGGGGGTATGTACATGTTCATGTGGATATGTGCCCATGTGTGTGTACACAATGCATGGAGGCCAGAGGTCAGCACTGAGTATCATTTTCTACCTGAGTTTTTGAGACGGGCTCTGTCACTGAACCTGGAGCTCATGGATTAGGCTAGTCTGGCTGTAGGGAATCAGCTCCAGCTCCCCAGTGCTGGGATTCCTGACATGCACTGTCATGCCGGCTTTTTGTTTTTTTGCCTGTCTTTTCGTTGGTTGTTTTTTGACAGGTCTCCCTAGTCACACCCCACCTGGAAGTCACAATGTGAGCCAGGCTGGCCTTGATCTCACAGAGATCCATCTGCCTCTGCCTCCCAAGGCCTGGGGTTAAAGGCACATGCCACCATGCCCGGCAGCATTTTTTTTTTTTTTTTTAAATGTGGGTTGAGGATCCAAACTCAGGTGCCCATACTTGTACTTTACCAACTGAGCCATCTTCCCAGCTCTGTTCATTCATTTTTATTTTGGTTTGGTTTTGAAATAGGGTCTTACTACTTAATCCTGACTGGCCTCAAGTTCACCGTCCTCCTGCCTCAGCTTCCTGAATGCTAGAATTATAGACATGCGCCACCACACTTGGGACTAACTTTTGAGGAGCCGGTAAGTTGTTTTCCACAATGCTGATGCTACTTTATATGCCCACCCAAAACGTGCAAGGATTCCAATTTTCTACATCCTTTACAGAGTTTGTTATTTTCCATTTTTAAAAAAATATTTTATTGCACTGAGCGTGGTAGCCCACTCCTGTAGTCCCAGCACTTGGGAGGCAGAGGCAGGCAGATCTCTGTGAATTCAAGGCCAGCCTGGTCTACATAGTAAGTTCCAGGACAGCTGGGGCTACTAGGAGATCCTGTCTCAAAAAGACAAAAAATTTTTATTATTTTTATTTTATGTGTACATGTGTATTGTCTGCATGTAGGTAAGTGCACCCGTGTCATGCAATGCCCGCAGAGGACAGAAGAAGCTGTTGGATCTCCTGGAACTGGAGTTACGGACAGTTATTAGCTGCCATGTGGGTACGGGGATTTGAACCCGGGTCTTCTGCAAGAACAGTCAGTGTTCTTAACCACTGAGCCATCTCTCCAGCCCCTCCATTTAAAAAATTATATCCATTGGGGCTGGAGAGATGGCTCTGTGATCAAGAGCACTGACTGCTCTTGCAGAGAACCCAGGTTCGATTCCTAGTACCCATATGGTGGCTAACAACCATCCATAACTCCAGTTCCAGGAGATTCGATGCCTTCTTCTGACCTCTGTGGGCATTGTATGACGGGTACACTTGCACACATCCAGACAATACTCTCATAAAATAAAAATAATAAACTTTTTAGACATGATGTCTGCCTTAGTAAATATGGAGTGATGTGTCATTGTGTGTGATTTTCTTTTTTTTTTTTTTTGAGGGGGGTTTTGCATTTTCCTCATGACTAAAGATATGAACAACTTTTCCTTTGCTTGTTGGTCACCTGTGTGTCTTTGGGGAAATGTCATCTCATTTACTTTACTCTTTTTAACATTGAGTGGTTTGTCTTTTTATTGTTGAGTTGGGGGATTTCTTGGGATAGTCTGAATCTGATATATGGATATGTAAATATCTTCTCAGTTCCATAAGTCTGTTCCTTCTGTGAGTGTCTTTTGCTGCACAAAGCTTTTAGTTTGATGAAAATGCAATCTAATGTTTTCTTCTAAGAATTTTAGAGTTTTAGCTTTTTAAACATTTGTTTATATATTTAGTTTTTAAGATTTTTTAAAACTGTGGTGTATAGGTATGTGTGTGTGTGTGTGTGTGTATGTGTGTGTGTGTGTGTATGTATGTATGTATGTCTGTGTATGGATACATAAGTGCATGTGCCTAAGGAGGCCAGAAGAGAGTATTGAATCTCCTGGAGCTGGAGTTACAGGCGGTTGTAAGCCACCTACTGAAAACTGAAACCAGGTCCTCTGTACAGCAGCAAGTGCTCTTAACTGCTGAGCCATCTCTCTAGCCTCTAGTTTTAGTTTTGGGTTTTTTGTTGTTGTTGTTGTTGTTGTTCTGGTTTTCAAGACAGGATCTCCCTGTAGCTCCAGCTGGCCTGGAACTAAGTATGTAGACTAGGCTGGCCTCCATCTCCCAGAGATGCTCCTGCCTCTGGCTCTTAAGTGCTGTAATTAAAGGTGTGTACTCCCACACCTGGCTTAGTTTTAGCTTTTTAATTTTCTTTCTTTTTCTAAAGATTGAATTTGCACATTTGCTAGGCAAGTGATCCACCAATGAGCTACAGCCCCAATTCTGTTTTTACTCTTATTTTGAGATAAGATCTTGATAAGTTGTCCAGGCTGGACTTGAACTCACTCTGTAGCCCAGGGTGGCCTTGAATTTATGATTCTCCTGCCTCAGTATCCTAAGTAGCTGGGATTATAGGCTTAAACCATTAGGTCTGTTAGTTTTCACTTTTAAATTTAGGTCCTTCAGCCAGGTGTGGTGGCGTAATCCCAACACTTGGAAGGCAAAGTCCAGCAAATGTCTGAGAGAACAAAGCCAGCCTGGTCTACAAAGTGAGTAACAGGCCAGCTGGAGCCACAGGGATCAATCCATTTTGGATTGATTTTAGTATCAAGTGTGGAGTCAGGGTCCTGCTTTTGCATAAGGACATCCCATTTCACCAGCAGATTGCTGAAACATTACTTTCCCATTAAAGAGAGGTAGCAAGAATAATTTTTATTGCATTTATTTATTTATTATTTATTTATTGTGTGGGTGTGTGTACACATATCATGGCATGGGTGTGGAAGTCAAGGACAATGTTCAGAAATCGGTTCTCTCCTTCCACCATGTGGGTCTCGGGGATCAAACTCAAGTTACAAGGCTTGAAGACAAGCCTTAACCCACCAAGTCATCTCACCAGCACAACAATAATTTCTTTTTTGTTTATTTTTAAAAAAAAAACATTTATTTATTTTTAATTCTGTGTATGTGGGGAAAGGGTTATGTGCACATGAGTATGGGTGCCCACGGAGACCAGAGAGGGTGTTGGAGCTGGAGTTACAGGTGGTTGTGAGTCACCCAATGTGGGTGCTGAGACCCAAACCTGGGTCCTCTGCAAGAGTAGTATATGCGCTCTTATTCACTAAGTCCTGTCTCCAGCCCCGTAATTTCTTAATATATTAGCTAAATAACATTATAAAGAAAAAGTTATATTAAAATTTAATTAC